AAGAAAAGAAGGCGGCAAAATACATAAGCGGAAACATTCTTTTAAATAAAAAATCATCGCGCAAACTTGGTGGGAATCCAAGTGCACTGATCAATTTAAAGTTGAGAAGAGTAATACAACTGACATTAGTAATCAAAGAGAGAAGAAGGCCTTTTGTAAAGGTTGCATCTTTAATCCATAGAGAAGATACGCTCATTTCATAAACATATTCAGATCTGCTTGGAATACACGAATAAGCATCATGTGTAATATACAAACACCACATAAATAAACACAAGAATGGAATCCTTGCTGGGAACAGTGGGAGCCCTGTCAAATTCAAAATAAAACAGCTTTGTAATGCGAGTTCACTACTGACCAGCGGGTGTAGAAGATGGAAGTGCGATGCAAAGAAAATAAAATTCACTTTTATTTGAGACTGTTATATTTTTCGTCTCCGGAGTAGGCTACAGTAATCATTTGAGAAAACTGATCACAGTTTACAAGTTTATGCAATCTCAATGCCGCCATCAGTAAATAGTTCGACGTCCTTCTCAAAATAGATGAAGATCACCAGATTCTCAATTCGCACTTCTAGATCCAGAAGTTTTCATAGATTGGAAGGGGACTTATACCAGCCCCATGGATCATCAGATACATATTGTGTCACTTGTTTCACATTCAAATAGTTGTCGAGTCCCCTGAGGAAAGAGCAAGTTATCTAGTTCAGTTTTTTTCCTTAACTTTCTTCACATGGGTTTCAATGATAATCAAAATCATATTTTATAATGAGGACGAACAAGGAGAATAAATTGTCTGGACAGGCGACTAGCAACATGGAGTAAGAATGTTTTTGAGAAAAGAAGAGAGATAGAGAACATAAAATTACCATTCTCCCAGTTCTCGCCCAAAACCACTACGCTTTTTGCCTCCCCAAGGAGCTTGAGAGAAGCATGGCTGCGAGCAGTTGACCCAAACGACCCCTGCCTGAAAGGCCTGCCAAAATAAAAGAAAGAAACACCAACATAGGTCCACAGTTATGTTTAACATCATGCAGTCTTCGTATGTGTTTGTTGAGGTTAAAGTACAACTTACTAGTTAATTTTCATAAGCAGTTTCTTAAAGACCAGACCGGCCAGACCAGGTTTTAAGTAGTGTTCACAAGTGAAAATGATTCTCACCTTTGTCATCCGCTCACACCTTTCCAGATCTCGTGATAACACAGCAGCAGCCAAACCATAACTGAAATGGTTATCCAGTCAATGAAAAAGTAAAATTTAAATCACAAATAACGGTGTCCTGGAACAGAACCATTAAGGATAACAAAGAGTCAACTCACTGGGTGTCATTTGCTAGTTCAATGGCTTCATTTTCAGTTGAGAATGTTTTAACACAAAGAACTGGTCCAAATACCTCCTCTCTCCAAATTTGCATGGAAGTTTTTATGCCTGTTATTATGGTAGGTTCAACAAAGTAGCCCTTCTTTAAATGCTGCAATCAATCATAAAGAAATGTCAATATCATTATAGGCTGATTCACTAAATTGCAGCTTGTCGGTTCGGATAGTCAAAGTCAAACAATTAATATTAACCACATCTCTCATGTATCCCACAACTTTTCAATCACACATTTCAAAAACTTCTATTACAATCTACTAAATCTAATTTTAATCCCCACCAAACACCCTCTTGACATAGGCTATGATTAAGGAATTTTACCTGAGGGCGTTCACCCCCACACAAGATGGTGGCACCTTCATCCTTGGCTTTTGAGATGAACTTCATTACTTTCTCATACTGTAACAGTACCAAATTAGAGTAATGAGTATAATAATTTTCAATATCTTCATTCCAGTTAGAGAAAAATGAGACAGCAGGCATTAATATGTACACAGTATTTATGAACAAAATATTACAAATAACAGAAACATAATGTTTTCAACAGTTTCTATCCACTGAAGTTCCCGTGTAAGATTCTACCATAGCGATTTTTTTGCAGATAATGATGTCAGTCATGCAGCCCTATATCTTGTTTGAGTTTGAGAAAGCAGAGGTAAATACAAGCCTTTTTACCTGTCCACTACTAACCACAGGACCAAGCCTGCATCCTTCCTCCAATGGGTCAGAAATTTTGATGTTCTTGCACCAATTTACAAGCTTGTCAAAGAATTCAGATGCAATGCTTTCCTGAAATATTTGTGAAAAACATCAAAGTTATATAGTACTGGTACAACATTCAAGACTATAAACAATAGAACATAGTAAATCTTCAATACAAGAGTTGAACTACAGAAATCCTCTATTTATGCTTCAACTGATTAACAAGTACCAGGTGTTAAACTAATCCAAATACACTGTTTCGACAGAAAGAACTTGAGTCAACAAAATGACAGCATAGAAAAGGATAACTAAGTCCCCATCTCATTGTCGTTGAAAGACCAAACAAGAATGTATGACCCCAAAACTTTTACGTATTATGTAGTTTATTTGTGAAAGTTGAAATGCAAGCAGGAGATGTAACCAGATGTGGGTGGGGAGTGAAAGTGAAGGGAGCAGGGAAGGTAGGCAGAGACGAAGGGAGACAGAGTGTAGGAGGTTTGGACATTTTCTGTCAAATTGATCTACAAGCACACACGTGACCCTCAGAAGATGCTGAGGTGCAAAAGGACACTAAACTTATGGGGGTCATGTGGGTTGTTGATAGCTAATTGGTTATAGACAGTTGGTTAAGGACTGATGATGTTGTAAATTCAAAAGTTGGTCATGATGCTGGAAAAATAATTGACTACCAACTTACTACAATTGCTTGGCAACCATTGCTTCAGTCCTTTATAGCGCAGGGGAAAAATTAAGATTACAGCATTGGAAAACAATGGAAACCCAGAGCAGCAGCAAAGTCAGCATCATGGCTGCACTCCAAGCTGTGAAGCTGAAGTCAGCAAGACTTATGGGGAGACAGCACAGGTGGCTGGCATGAATGACATGAATATGCTTCAGTTCTTGAGGCAACAAGCCCAGCTCTAGACAGAGTCAGCCACAGCAATCTGGGCAGGCCTGCCCCACCTTCTGGAGGAGCTCCTCAACCAGATGATGTAACAGCCCATGCAATCATATGATATAAACTTAATCCAAGATCCCACTGTTTACATGTCACCAGTTTCCTTTTCATTCAACCTTTTTCTATTTTCTTGAAATTTTTATATAAAGTTCCTTTTTCTTTGGCAGTTTGGTAAGTAAGGTGCCCTATTTGACAGGGCTTCTGGTTTTTGTAGAAAGGTTTTTGTAGAAAAGCTTCCTAAGGGAGTCATCTTGGGCCAGCTTCCTATAGAAGCACTTCAAACTAGGTAAAACATTTTTAGAAAATTATTCACAGGTTCAGAAACAATTTCTTAATCTTAAAAGTAGCTTTTGACCCTTAATACTACTCCTTAAATTTGTATACAGCGAACAAAAGTACAATAGGGGATTAATTTATGAAGACTGTAACAGTGACTTATGTAGATAATGACGTGTAGCTTGTGGACAAAAGAGAATGAGAGGCTTTAAAATATGGGCGAGATCCGAATAACAATATCAAGGATGCAGTATTCACTATGCTTACATGCACAAGAAGTCGAGAAGTGGCACTGCAAATCTGACCATTTGTCCAAAAACAACCAAACAGAGACCACTCAGCAGCTGTTTTGAATGGTAACATGAAAAAGATAACTCAGTAAATTTGACAATCAGAGCATCTTAGATGGGGGTGGGTGTTCAATGGTGCCCCTCATTTTAATCCGAAGTCCCAATTGATTAAATGATAGTAATGCACTTTCTTCAAACCATGTAAATAGCAAACTAGGATGATAATTTCATAATTCAAAAGGCTCAAACCTTTATCGAGATCAACGTCCTCAAACACAACAATTGGGCTTTTTCCACCAAGTTCAAGTGTTACTGGCTGCAAGCAACATAAAATTCAAATAGTTTTAATACACATTTGTATAATTGATAAGAGTCATGTAACTAGACTCTGCTTCCATTCTCAACCATACCTTGACAAGTTGAGCTGCAGCAGTCATAATTTTGATACCTGTAGCACTACTCCCAGTAAATGCTATCTGTTAATCAATTACAAAATCACTGTCACCTCATACTAGTTTATAACCCAACCCAAACCAAACATAGCCTTAAAAGTCAGAAAACTTCACCTTGTCAACATGAGGATGAGATGCCAAAGAAGCACCAGCTTCCGGCCCAAGTCCTGTCAGAATATTGAGAACGCCTGGTGGAAGGCCTACCTCTTTACACACTTCACCTAACTCCAAACAAGTACTGCAGTAGAAATTGCAGGTGTAATTGTACAGCCGAAGACATTAACAACTGGTCCGGAAAATGAATATTGATAAAAAAGCGTTACATTGACGCTAATTCCGACGGCTTAAGTACAGCAGTGCAACCAGCAGCCAGAGCAGGGGCTACTTTCCATGTGGCCATTAATAGAGGGTAATTCCTACAAAATGAGAAACATAATTTCTATGTCAATCACTACCCATGCTGCCAGTTAATTCAGGATAGATCGTCAGTGTAAAACTTGTCATGTTCAACCATCGATACAACTAACAAACATAATTACGACAGTGAAGAGAAAGTGCCATATAACACAAACTCATTTGTTAGTTCATGAGATTGAATCCTATGCCAATAAGACCTAACCGTCATGGTATGATACAGCTGGTGCAATCTCTTTCAAAAAAACTCAACAGTAGTTTCAATGGTCTAACGAATATACATTGCCCCAACACAGAAAATAGAGTCTAACACAAAGCATTGATGCATCATTAGAGAGCAATTTCAAGTTTCCACATGGAGTAACATTCTATTTTCTTTCTTTTTATTTTTCTTACAGGGTCTACTTAGAGAACAGAGGAAACAGCACTAGCACATTGCTGAATTTTATGTTCTCGTTGTCATCCCATATCCATTTCTCAGATAGAAAGAGAACATGATGGAGTAAGCAAGCAAAGCCAAGTCAATGTACAATAAATCTTTAAGAACCGATTGCCAAACCAAAGGTGGATAGCAGATTGAGAACCCGAATTCTCTCCTTCATTTTCAAGATAAAATCGGAAGAGAGTTCTGCTTTAGTATATCCCTTGGGATTTTCCAACCTGCAAACTATGTTGTCCAATATATTGACAGATGATAATATGTTCTAACTCGTATGATAGAAGTCTTCTTACCAAATATAGCATACAGGATCATCTGATGGTATGCTTTTTAGCGTTCATTGTCCAAACTAGATAGACTCACTCACTTATTTAAGCTCAGACCATAAAGAAGTATTAAAAATTTAATATACGTAGGGAAGAATTAATGACCAACTTTTGAAGTTATGCCAGTAATTTGCAGCCTAGTCTATTGATATAATTTTCCAAAAACTTTAATTAAGCAAGAAAATATTTCCAAACTATGGTTGAGAGTGCCAAGTCATAACACTTATGGAATAGACAAGCCACAAACAGTGGCGAATCCAGGAATTTGAGTCAGCACGGGCGGCTGTTGACCATCTACCGTTGGCCGCAATAAAATATTAAAAGTCCTTTTGGTATCCATTTCTTTTGCAAAAAATGCATTTTGGAATGGTGATTTGATGGAGAACGTCTGAACGTGTGATTAAAAATAAAGAAAAATTTTGAATTTACGTGTAATATTATTTTATTGAAAAATGTATGGATAAAAAGAAGAGAGAAAAATATAATTTTAAAAAAAGGGAGAATCGAACAAGGCCTAAAGTATAAACATAACAATTATTTTGTTCAAAATGAATATATATAATTCTATTATAAGAATAAATAGAACTCATCAATTAACATTGTTGCCAAATTTTGTATAATTCAAAAGAAAAGTGTGAATTCGAATATTTAAAATTGTTTGCATTAAAACAATCAAAACCTAACAAATATCATTTTGTTAAATTTAGTAACACAATTCAAGAGGTTCCATAATGGCTAAGTTCACCACAACCTTTGCTTGAGATCATGGGTTCAAATCCTCATTGTCCCTCTCTTATTGAATTTTGGTAAAAATTATAGAATAAAAATAATACATAACAAGTCCATTGACAAAAATTCGAACCTAAGACTTGAAATATATTAAGGTTGACTCTCACCAAGTAAACTACAGGAATGCTTGAAAATAAAATCAATTACCAACAATATAAGGTAAAAATTTAATTTATTACTAACAAAATAAAAAAATATATATATCCCGGAGGATCCAGCTAGGACGGCCGCCCTCTGGATCCGCCACTGGCCACAAACTATTTCACACAAACAGCAAACTAAATGGATAATGAAAGAGCATTTTTATTATAGCACATATGCGTGATATATAAGCTTTTTGCAGAGCTAGGAACATATATTATTTTATTGTTTATCTAATAAGAACAAAATTATAAGAATCAACTAAAGAGGCAGCACCCACCATGGGGTAATCAACCCAATAACCCCAAGGGGTTCTCTCAAAACATGACACTTAAATGCCTCCATTGGAAGAGAAATTGGAGTCTTTTGCTTTGAATCCAAAGCCTCAGCAAGCTCAGCATGATATTGAAAACATCCAGCAACATCATCCTGGATTACATGAATAAGCATAAAGTCCATCTATAATATAGAGAATCAGAAAAATGTTTCTTCATGTATTTAAAACATACAATATCCCAAGCCGCTTCTTCCAATGGTTTCCCAGAATCGATTGCTTCAAGTTTTGCTAATTCTGATTTTCTTTCTGTAATCTACATATTAGTGGAAAGAGTAAGCAGCCAGACATCTGAACCAAGCAAATAACCTTAAATATCCATCATACTTGCTGTGCATTTGAGCCATATTATTTTGAAAGAATGTATTTTGAAATAGTAGATTGATGAAGAATGTGTGATTAAAAAATGAGGAAAATTTTTGGATTTGCACGTAATATTACTTTATTTAATAATGTTCGATTAAAATGATGTTAAATCACTGTTTAAAAATGTATTTTCTACCTTTCATAGAAGCATTTACGGATGGTAACATCCATGGCCATGTATCTGAACTAAGTACATGAAGAAAAGGCTAAATCTCAATCATACTCACTAAATAATAAGATACGTAACAATAGTTAACAAAAAAGTATTTAGAATTATACTTAACTGAATGCTAACAATTCAATGAATGTACATCGAATGATGAAACTAGAAGTTCATTGCCTGTCTTTAAAATATAATCAAAGATGTAAATTAACTATAATTTCCAGCTGAAAACATGATAATAATTGTAAAATAGAAGAAAGATCACATGATGTACATACTACCCTAGCTAGCTGAGTTAGGGTTGTAGCTAATCACCACCATAAAATCATTTACATATAGCTACAAACACCGGTATAAGCCCACCTCTTACTTAAAATATATTGTCCATTACTACCGCAAATGAGTACCCCTCTAGCACTCAAACAAAATGATTTATAGGTACCAGTTTGTTTTAACTAGCGAAACTGAAAAGCTTTCGCCTTTTCATTTCCCGGGATTCACTTGTAAAAATTTTCACCATCTAGAATTAAAATCTTTTCAAGTTTGAAGAAGATAAACATCAATACTAACTGTAGCTGTCACCTCCATCCACTAATTTTCAGTTAAATGGAAAGCGAACTTCTTCCAGAAAGTGAAAATAATATGAATATCCTTCTGCGTCAACAGCTGTTTGTCATGTGCGCATGGAAGTGTTCAAGCTAGACTTGTAGACATGCAATGACAAGAAATTAAATTTTTTTATGCATATATAAGTAAAAACCTATCCTTATTAATGTAACAAAATACAATTGGACATAAAAGATCAAGATCTTATGCAAGTTAATAAGATGAAGTCCGAAACAGCACTAATAAAAGACCCCAAGAAACATATCAAATATAGACCTTCGCAGCAATGGCACGTAAATAGTTGGCACGATGTGCCCCCGTAGCTGAAGCCCAATCTTTGCCTCCATTTCGGGAAAGTGCAGTTTGGGCAGCTTCCACCGCTATATCCACATCTTCCGCTGTAGCCGCTGGAATATGTCCTGAAACACATAAAAAATTAAAAAAACACATATATCAGATTCATGATCCACTTGAAACTCAGTAAATCAATAGTTTCTCATTATCTACTTCATCAATTTCAATGAAAAACAGAAAACAATAAAAAACTACAACCCACTTCCCCAAGTTTATCCAAAAAAACAGATTGCAGACCAGGAAATTCTGTAACTGCGTTACTCATAAAGTCCGTCACAATTAAGTTAAAACAAATAGTATATTTCGGTCACTTCTGGTGTTAGTCCTTTCTTCTCAATTTTTTTCCCCATCTTGAATCTATTCAATTTCATCTAATATTAAGAAATTGATTATCAAATAAACTTAAGGCACCGAACACTTGGCTTCAAGCAGAAAGTAAACAAGAGCAGAAAAATAAATTAATTAATTAAAACTTCAAACAGAAATATTGTAAGACATGGGTTGAGATTGACCAATTATCTCTTCAGTGACTGGATTAACGATGGGAATGCGATTTTTTCGGATGGGCTCCGTCCATTTGCCGTCGATGAAAAGTAGACGATTCGGAATTGAAGTTGCCATCGATTACTGTGCGATCTTATCACTCTCACTGACCACCCACTCCAATTTCGTGTACTTATTTACTTTGCTGGACCACTGTAAGAACGTGCGGAGTATCGAAACGTGTGTTTATTAGCACATCTCCAGCGCATCAAAATTAGCCACCAAACTAAATTTATTTCCAACCATTACACCAAAATTTACATGTTTAACCATTTTCTTCCTTTCTTTATTCTTTATAATTTATTTATTTAAAATATTTATTTATTTAATTATATTATAAATTAATAAATTACCAAATAAATAATTACGTTAAATTAAGAAAAAAATTATATTCATTAATAAATATAAAAAAAAATAGTACAATTAGTAAAAACACTACAAAAATGAAAATATTAAATCATGTCATTAAAAAGTAGTGCAACACATTTCGAATTTGTATATTATGATATTACGAAGTCGAAATATTATTTTGACTATATTGGAGGATCTGGAAGTGATCTTCTCGATTACTAAACTATGCACTTTTTTATGTACTGTTTTCTTTAGATAAAATTAAATTAACGTATGTATGTCGTCGTTTAATATGTTTCGTGTTAATTTTAAATAATTGTGTTTTTTATATTTTAATTTTTTTCTTCTTTTAATTAATTCATTAATTATTATTTTTTACATTTAAAATTTAAATGCAAATAATTATAATAATAATAATTTATTGTATTAAAAAATATATAGCACAAATGACACAAATGCTCTTGATCAATTTATTTGAGAAAAGAAAATGAAAGGTAAAAATGACTTTATACTTTGCACCATTTTGGTGGAAAGTGAATAATGTTGCATGCACCAAATTGTACAAAGTTTGGTGTTGCATTGGAGGTGTTTTGCACCATTTTTTCGTACATTTTGGTGTTTTAAGGTAAGCATCGGAGATGGCCTTATGTCTTGAAGACAAATAATTCTTTTAGAATCCACGAATTAAAAAAGAAAAAGATATGAGTTGGATACAGAATTATTTTATTAAAAAATGTAATGATTTAAAAAAAAATTAAAGAATTTGTACTAAACATGACTTCGTCTATCAATATGAAATATGTAGTATGAAATAGATCTATTAATTATGAGTATGGTTATTCCAATTTGATTACTATCGATTATTCCTCAACCAAAATAAGTGATTTTAGTCTTTATAAAAAGAAAATGGATTCTTGAATTCCTTTCACGCTCATGTCACGTCGAGGCAAGCAAATAAAAGAAACCCTATCCATAATAAATGTTTGTTTCCTACTTTTTCTTCCCTCCAACGTGCACCACGTTTCCTATCAAGATCAGTAGCCGGAACCACAAGCTCAAGCTTTTATGAAGATGAAATTGTCCGATTACACCAATAGCACGTTGGAAAATTATATCGATATTGTGCATTTTATATTCACAAAAAATATAATGTTTATGTTCACGAAATCGAAACGTAATTTCGACTTATCAAAATGGATTTGAAGATAAAAACAATAATAGTTACCGAATCCAAATGTATGGATATAGATTCATGCCTTTCTTCGATTCTTGAACGAAAGCAAGTCAGGATCGAACCTTACACCATAAACATATAAATAATGTTAAACATTTTCTGAAATCAAAGTATAATTAAAAGAAATCAGAAAATGAAGAAAGAAAATGCAAGTAATGGAATTTGGCCGAGGCAATTGCTGGACACTTTCTCCTTAAGATGAATTTGCCCCGCATTGATGCTAACGATTTTTCCACAATCATCTCCTATGATACAATGACCACGTCTAGCCATAGGAGCACTCTAAATGGTTTAGACCAACGAACTCAAACGGAGTTCCCCCTTTACCATAACCATGACTTTAATGCAAATGTTTTATGCAACATCAAAGTGTAACATGAAATGGAATGATATAGAATTATGAATTGAATCTCTTAAATTGATAAAATCCAAACACATGGGGTTTATATGTAGTAGTTGAAAAGGTATATCAAAGGATACAACCAGACCAAGAGACACACCTCTTGAAATTTATTTTTATACATTAAGAGACACAATTATTGAAAATTAATTATACTCATACCAAGAGTCATGATCCTTCATGTAAAAAGACACGTTTTTTCATCCATTTATTTCTAGAATATTCCACAATGTTCAATACAATTTTTCAACAATTTTAAATATTAAGCGGTTTATATTTGATTTAATTTCTCATTCACAACATAAATGCAAATGTCTATGCAGACACTAGTAGAGAGCGAAAAAACACTGCATCATGTAAGGTAGCTTTTGACTTTGAACCTTCTTTAGTGAACGAATTTATTTGGCTAATCAGTGAAGGTGTGTCTTGAACTGTCAGCCTTTGGTGTAAATTAGGACAACAGTACTTACACAATGTCTCCCATAAACCGTTCGTGATTCTCATGACTTAGTTCATTTTGGCTCTAAATCGATATTGGTTCTGTAAGTGTTTAGAGAATTCAAGCCTTGAATAATTCTCATTGAAGTGCCCCAGTTCACCCTTACATAGGTGATCTTCTATTAAGAGTATTATGCTCTACTCCACTTGACTTAATCAAGATATAGGAATCATTAAAAGATTATTTTAACCTCCAACCACTCTACAGAAAGCACTTTGATATCATAAGAATGAGTTAGGAAACTAGTTTTCTAAGCCCTCATTTGTTTCCCATTTTTTGCCCATTAAAATGAAAAATATGATCGTTGTCCATTACATCAGGCCACAATATTTGACTTTCTATCTCTTGTGTGGGGCCCGTAACGGTTTCATTCTCATTTTTACATTAATGTGTACCAAACGGGCCTTATGTGTTTCATGAAATCCTCATAATTTAGTTGTCCATTTGAACTAAGATTTTGGGATCTCCAGTCAACAAGGTAGGGTTACCATTATAAAGACTCTCACACAGTAGGCTTAATCTCATTCCCTTTGATATGCAGAATACTTGATCTCTTGGTAAACATAAATAAATGGATCAACAAGTTTACACCAATGAGATCAACTGCTTGTGGTATTATGTCTATGACATACATGTCTAGACTTACCATTACACGTGACATAGCATCTTATCAAATATAGTTAGCCAACGATCGATTCATTTAATAGATACACATTGTCACCACCTAGAAATCCTTTCATGAAGCTACATGCTTTTCATTAGATTTATCTAAAGTTTTATCAATTTCAAATAAGATTGAAGGATTTCTATCAATTATTACACTAGTCAATCATATTTACTAGTGAATTTCATATATGGGTATTCAATATTATCATTAAAGCATTCGAACTTTATGATTATTCTCCAATATTTCAATTGTTCTTATATATCCAAACAACCGTCATGATCGATTTTCATCCTATTTCATCCACTTTAGGGCTTTTATCAACTTTAGACTTAGTGTATATCACCCTTAAAATAAGGATTTTCCACATTTCTACCTTCATAGATATCTTTCTATAATTTATGAGGTAAAGGAAATTGTAACCGTTGAACTAAATTACCCCCCACATTTCCTCAATTAGGAGTGTATGTGCAAATAGTAGTATTGCATCCACACGTCTTAAACTTCTCATATAAGTTCTTAAACATTTATGATAACTCCTACATTTTTGTGTTATTCTTGAACTTAGAGTTCATCAACTCTTTTTTAGTTCAATCTATTTCACTTAGATAACATCCGTATCGAGTCCTTCATGAAAGTCTAAATACTTTCAAAATAATGGTCGTCGATTCACACAAATGAAAATCATTTTTCATTCAAAATTGTACTTAAATCAACAATCTTTAATTTAATCATCCAAATTAAATTAAGATCATCATTAAGGTCATCACATAGACCAACAATGCTTTCAAAGCATATACTAGCTTAGTTGGTTCCACAATTGAAGTCAATTTCATTAATGAAGAAGACTAAGCATCTTGATTCACAAGACTTGCAACTTCCCCAAACATATTTGATTTTATCACATTGTGATATTTCACAAAATTGTACACCATTACACGTCAAATAATATGGTAAATCTCACCTTATTTTCCATATTAGAAAAGTTGTGTCACAATCTTACAAGAGGACACACCTCTAGAATATTTCATAATATTCTTCATGGTTTTTATCCTTCACAAATTATTTTCAAGGATATTTGACACCACCCCAACTATAGACACCATTTGTGCCCTATAAAATATTTTCACATCGCAATAATTAGACGAGCAATTTCCACTTTAAAATAATTAGGACAAAATCACATTTTATTACTCTTATATAACTATAATTTTGCACAAGTCATCTCATTTAATTTCATAGAATTAATTGAGAATATCATCATAAATCAAGGTTAGTATAATTTTTAAATCAATATTGGATGGACATATATCAGATTTACAACTTATCGTATTGACACAAGCCGTATATGCAACTTACTGGATTATTGCAAACCATATTTGCTGCTTACCGTATATGCAACTTACCGTATCTGCTGCTTACTGTATATGCAGCTTACTGCATATACCAAATTTGCATATACAGACCAAAAAGTCTATCCGAAGTCCAAACCCTCGTATGTATTCACCAAATGAATTCACTATTTGGAATTTACGTTTATACAAATGACAGTATATAAAACATATTTAAAGTTCATGTGCCATGCCTCCATTTTATGGCATTTTCCAAAGAGATCTAATTAATCTCTTATAGCATATGATGACCAATATTATAATTATTCATCTTGAACCAGGTAACTGAATTTTTTATTTTTTATTTTTTTAAGAGGAATTCAATAGACATAAAATCTATCGTTTCATTTTGAAACTTCCACTTTCACTTTACTGTAATATGCATGAATCAAAATCAAATTTAATTTCCAACATGAATGGAGAGTATATTGCAGTTCCTATCACATCCAAATTAATCCATAAACATTCATTTCCAATTTTCAGTTATGGAAATTCGTGTATAAATCCATGGACGTTACAAATTATACAAATTTTTTTAAGAGGAATTCAATAGACATAAAATCTATCGTTTCATTTTGAAACTTCCACTTTCACTTTACTGTAATATGCATGAATCAAAATCAAATTTAATTTCCAACA